TAAATCTTCACCTAAATCAAAATTAAAAAAATATATATATAAAAAAGTAAATAAATAATCCAGATAAGGATTTACCTTTACAACTTTATGATAAGCAGAAATTCTAAGGACTGCCTCAATGACAAATGAATCCCCAACTAAACTTAAGTTCTCATTAAAATAATAAGATTAGGGGCCTATAGTAGCCATAAAATTTCTTAAAATAATTTTATATTCGATAAAATAAAACATCAAAGACAACATATTAATTAAGGGCAATATTAATGATTTTCTATATCTTAAGTTGGTAATAAGGGTACTGTTATTAATTCCACTTCCACACCAGAAGTTTTTTGGTATCAAAAAGAGGCCTCTACTTCGGTTTATCACATTAAAACAATTTTATCCCCCCCTATCTTTTGGTTATGACCCTCTGTTAAAGTGTTCAATATTTTTCTTACTTTAGAATTCAAAGTCACAGCTCTGTGATCCCCTGTCCCTCTTTTTACATACTGTAGCTCCTTTCTGCCTTGAAGATGTCAGTGGAATACATTTCCCTTTTTTCAAGTCTTCCCTATAAACAACTCTACTCAATATTTAACATCTGCTCTAATCCTCCCTTCTTCTATAATCAATCCCCAGGTCCCCCTTTTTTTATTATCTACAACAGAAAGGACTTGTAACTGACAGTAGCTGTGAAGGAACACTGACGTTAAAATCATATATGCTTAAATTTCTTACAAGGGAAATTCACTAGTAGGAAGGAATTACTGTAAAATAAAACTGAATTCTCACCTGTCCTTTAGTCCTTTGTTTACAAATACCTTAAAAGGTTTTAAATCTTGCTGATATTTGCTGTTATTCCAGTCATCTAGGTTAACAACCCTGGTGCCTTATTTGATACTTCCTTTCCCCTACTCCTAAGTAAAATCACTAAGTCAGTCTTACCAGTTTTCAATCTGAAATATCATACTCACTGCTAAGATCATCATTCTGACCCTCATCTATCCATGTCTAGCTTAATAACAGATTCCAGCTTAAGAACAGATTCCACCAAGATTCCCAATTTTTCAAATCAATTCTGTACATTGTATACTTTCGTAAAGTAATATATTCTGTACACTTTCACAAAGTAATATATTTAACAAACCACCTTCCTGCCTCCAAATCTAAAGTGGTTTCTCTTTGTTTGCTACTATAGTACAGGTGGTGGTGGTGGGGTGTGTGTGTGTAGGTGGTGGCAGGGATGAAGCACTGTCTTTTCATGTTTGTGTTACCCTGCCTGTAATCCAGCAAGGTCCAGGCTTTTCATGGAGCTATCCCTCCTAAGTTCTGTATTAAAGAACACCCTCAGTGTTCTAGCCTTTGTTTTCTCACCTGCTATAAACACTCTATTCTCACAACCCCAAAGGCATTGGCCTTCCTCTTTGACCTTATTGTCTTATTCCCTTCCTCACTTGCTTGGCTGTCACAATGGATTACTTTTGTTCCTTGAATGCCTTAGTACTTATTATTTCTTCTGCCTTCAATGACCTTCCCCCAGATCTTCACAGAGTTGGTGCCTATAAAATCTATTCCCCTAGTATTTCTTCAGAGAGCTCCTTTCTGACCACCTGCCTGAATTGTAACCCTGCCCTACTTCCTGACAGCTAATATTTCCACATTACTGTTGCTATTAGTTGCCAGTGAATTGGCTCTGGACTCATGGCAACCTTAGGTATAACAGAACAAAACGCTGCCTTGTCCTCTGCCACCTTCATGATCATTGGTATGACTCCACTGTTGAATTGCATCAATCCATCTCATTGAGGGTTTCTCTCACTTTCACCAACCCTCTACTTTACAAAACATGATGACCTTTTCCTAGCAACTGGTCTTTCCTGATGACATGTCCAAAGTAAGGAAGCTGAAGTCTCGTCATTCTCTCTTCTAAGGAGCATTCCTTCTAAGACTGATTTGTTTGTTCTTCTGACAGTCCTGGTATATGCAACATTCTTTGACATGATTATGTTATTTATTTAGTCTTACCTAAGGAAGCTCTGAGAGGGACATTGTCTTATTCACCACTGTAATCCCTGTGCTTAGAAGAGTACTTGGGATAGACTAAATGGGCATTATCTGTTTTCTGAATGAATAGCCCTGGCTAGGCTATTGCTCTTCTCCACAGTGATATAAATTTACAGATCAACTTCAGAGTATTAGAACTTATGATTAGAAGGCTCCTGGGATCCCCATTTCTCACTCTGGACTATTCAGTCTGTCCCTGTTTTGACAGCAGGGTCCACACTGCCTTTACTAACATCATCCTCAGTACTTTGACAAAAGCTCCAGATATGCCAATCTCCTGAAGGCCCTGGGAACACATTACAGTCACTGGGATTAGCTATCGTAGAAGCAAGGATCCCTGGTGGCGTAATGATTGGCTACTAACTGACAGGTGGACGGTATGAACCCACCCAGTGGCTCGGCAGGAAAAAAGACCTGGTGATGTGCTCCTGTAGAGATTATGTTGTCATTGTTGTTAGGTGCCGTCGAGTCGGCTCTGACTCATAGCGACCCCATGTACAACAGAATGAAACACTGCCTGGTCCTGTGCCAGCCTCACAATCCTTACTATACCTGGTAGAGATTATAGCCTAGGAAATCCAAGAGGCACTCTGGATCACTGTCACACTAGATCACTATGAGTCAGAAGAGACTCAAAGGTACCTAACAACAACAACATAGTAGCACGATATAGCAGTAGTTACTAGAATCCACTGGGTGTGACATTTCTAGCAGTGTGGTCTTGGGCAAAGCGTTTAACACCTCTTAGCGCCTTCCTTTACCTTCCTTGTAAAAGGAGGATAATAACAGTCTACAATTTATCTGGTTACTCTAAAAATTACGTGAGTCTATTTGTAAGATGTTTGGAATATGCTGATGCATACTAAAAATAACTAACATTTAGGTAGCACTTTATATTACTTTTGTTTTTAAGAGTCCTTCTATCTTCAGTGTTCTCTCTTCTCAACCAGGTCAAATAACATTCTACTTCCTTCACTAAGCTACATCTCCAAATTTCATTAACTCCCCTTCTCAATAAACTCTCACAGGCTTTAGCTGTTCTTAAATGTTATTTAAACTATTTCTTGTACACATATATTGCTTTAGTAAGAGATGATAAACTAGTCAAGAACAAAGACTATTACAAACTTCTGCTCTATCTACCAAGTGTCCAGCAATTAAACACTGTTGTTGTGTGTCCTCAAGTCGATTCCGACCCAAGTGATCCTATATGACAGAGTCAAACTGCCTCATGTAATCTTGACATGAGCAGATTGCCAGGTCTTTTCTCCTGTGGACTGGCTGGTGGGTTCAAATCACTGACCTTTCCATTAGCAGCTCAGCACTTAACCATTGCACCATCAGGGCTCCTATATAAACACTACTGAGTAACAAATGCTGAATGAAAAAACACATCAACCTTTACTAGTAAATTCAGATGATGAGCTTGTAGATGAATGTAATGGTAACATACTGTTATTTGAATAATACAACCAATAATGTTAGAAGTTCCAAATATACTTTAAATGTACATTGTTGTTGTTGTTAGGTGCTTAGAAATCAATTCTGACTCACATCAAAACTATAACAATACAACGAAACACTGTCTGGTTCTGCGCCATCCTCACAATCGCTGCTATGTTTGAGGCCACTGCTGTAGCCACTATGCCAATCCATGTCATTGAGGGTCTTCTTTTGCTGACCTTCTACTTTACCAAGCATGATGACCTTCTCCTGGGACTGCTCCCTCTTGATAACATGTCCAAAGTACATAGGATAAAATCTCACCATCCTCTCTTCTAAGAGCACTCTGGCTGTACTTCTTCCAGGACAGATTTATTAATTCTTCTGACAAACCATGGTATATTCAATATGTTTTACAAACACCATAATTCAAATGCACCAATTCTTCTACGGTCTTCTTTATTCATTGTCCAGCTTTCACATGCACATGAGGCAATTGAAAATACCATGGCTTGGGTCAAGTACATTTTAGTCATCAAAGTGATAGCTTTGCTTTTTAACACTTTAAAGAGGTCTTTGGCAACAGATTTGCCCAATGAAATATGTCATTCCATTCCATGCATATTTACCACTATTTCAGAGATATTACTCAAAAGCAACACAAAAATGGAAAAAAATCATTTTACTTATACTGTATATGTATGGGTTATATATTCCAAATAAAACAATGGAGCTATATATTTTTTTAAATATATAAAAGGAAAGATGTAGTAACTGTATTATAACAAGACACTCATAAAAATAAATGTCTGATTTTAGGGTTCATTTAGACTTCCTCCATGGTGCATTTCATAGTATCTGATACATATATACCATTTTTTAAAAAATGAATAGATATCTAAACATAGACCCCAACACAAACTATATTTTATATAATTATATATATAATTTTTTTTTTTTAATAATTTAAGGAGAGGGAAAGAAGAGTATTATACATTCAGATTCAAAAACATGCAACATTTATTTCTTAATAAAGTTGTTAAGTGGTAACCGAGGGAAGCTTAACACAATAATTTAGCCTATATATAAACCTTATCATTTTTCCTTTTGTGATCTATGCACTTCTGATTCTCTCTGCTCACCAATTTTTCACATGCCAAGTTCTCAGAAGATTCATGTTCTCAACATAACTGAAGGTGAGTTGGATAAAGTGAGAAATGTTCTATACATTACAAATAAATACAAAGAAGGCAAATTAAATTTTGTTAATTAAAAAGCTATATTCTATTCTTAAATCATGTTTATTTATAGAAATGTTTTGAATACTTACTTATATAATGCATTCCTAAATTCAGGAGTCATAAAAAGTGTTTGCAAAAGGCTATTCAAATAGCAAGTCATTGCTTGATTTACTAAGCCAACATAGCCTTTAAAAAGAAAACACAAATACACATAAGTTAGCATTGAGATTAAAAAATAACAAACAAGAAAACTTAATAAGAATTTAACACATAGTAAAGTTGAGAAGCTTAGGTTACTCAGTTGGAAACTGTTTTACCTTTTTCAGCAGTACCTAAGACAGATACCCCCCCTTTTCTAATTGTGTGCACAGTATGTAAACCTTGTTTCTCAGATATTTTATCTCTTGAAATCAAGAAGGATATCCTGTTACAGAGTACAAAAATAACATGGATATTATATGGCATTTAGTAAAATTTTAAGAGTAACACAATGTTTAAAATAGTACATTTCATAGGTATAAAAATGATGTTTGTTCCTCAAATCTAAAAGATGTATATTAAAATGGAAATGTATAAACAAATTCACTTTATCTATGCTACCCACCCAAAGTAGGAAAACTGTACAAAATCAGTTATCCATGTCCTCGGGCCCTATAAAAAAGCTGAGACTATTTTAATAAGTCTGAAATTCTACAGATCATCATGCTATGCAAAATGTGACTAAAAAGTAAGAAAAGAATTCAGGGATAGAGTGAAGGGGTGAAAGGAGGGAAAAGGGAAAAAGGAAGGAAAGAGAAACTTAACATGAACTTAAAATTCAAGTGAATTTTAAGGAATTAGCTTATGTACTATATACCTCTTTAGATGGGACTACTATTGTTGGGAACATTTTTGGCATTTCTCTTTTGGAGCAGATTTCGGCCCCAAGTTATGAGATACACACATACACACACACACACACACACATCATTCCCATCATTTTAGTCACACCACGTTGTTTGAGCAAAATGTGGTAAACACCTTTCTTAAACATATGCACTTCCACTTAACACCAAGTGACAGTTGTCTAAAAAAATTTTTGAATCTCTCAACAGAGATGTTCACTAAAGCTTCCAAATACTTTTTCTAATTTCCTAAAACTTATCAAAAATGTCTTGAGAGCCACTGAAAATCCTGTGGCCAAGGCACAACAAATGGTCTCTATTGGCCTGGAACAATAGAGGGAGAAGGAAAGTCAGGAATAGAAGAAGGAAATGGAATGTGTGGCTAACTGCCTCCATGAACAACTAACTGCCTCCTTTGTTGTGAGACCAGAAAAACGCGATGATACCTGGGGCTACCATTACTGAACATTTTGATCAAAGATTCCACAGAAGAAGAATCCTGATCAAAAGGGAGCAACTATAGAACATAATATCAAATTCTCATGGACTTTCTGTACCCAGGGAAGCTGGATAAACTTCTGAAATGATGCCCTGAAATAATCTTTAAACCTAAAACCAAAATATCCCCTGAAGTCTTTTTAAAACTGAGTAAGTTATAGCTTAACTAGTAAAGAATGCCTCGAGCATTTTAAGAACTATCTATATGGGATTAAATTGACAAGCTTTCTGAGATTCCTTCAATATTCATTACCACCTGTTCACTGGATCAAGGGAACAAAGGGCCCAAATGTCAGCCAGCAGTCTCATGCAGAAACCTCCAGAAATAGAGAGACACTGCCAGGGGAGGAAAGGCAATACATTTTGATAACTGGATATATTTTAAATATGTATATGTATATGTATATGTATATGTATATGTATATGTGTGTGTGTGTGTGTGTGTGTGTATATATATATATATATATATATATATATATATATATATATTTTGTTGACTAAAAATAAAACTATTCGAAGATTAAAAAGGAAACTTAGGAGGCAGTGAGTTGAGGTTAATGGGGCAAGAACAACTCAGAGAAGGGTGAGAATGGTTGCAAAACTTGAAGAATATAATCAGTGTCACTGAACTGTACATGTAGAAAATGCTGAAAACGGTGTATGTTTTGCTGTGTATAATCTCAACAGCAACAACCACATTAAAAAAAAAATCTTGAGAAACGGTAGGCTCTGTAGGTAACTGTATATTGGCAAAGAAGGTGATAAAAGGGCCAACAAATAATACATGGTGAATTTTGGTCACTTACAGAATACTGGAATTGATTCTACATCATTTATACTTGCATGATTCCAAAAAGAGGCCAATACCTGCCACCCACCCTTCACTGTGGACAGAGGCTCAAGTACTGATTTCTAATTCCTTTCATTTTTACTTTAAGAACACTGTGTACATGTGTTTATGTATTTTATTCTACATTATTATGTATTTAATTATACACTACTTCAATTCCTAACCACACCCCACCTGAGCTATTCCCATAGCACCCTATACTTAATGTGTATTAGAGCATTCATCTCACTGTTCTGTAATTACCAATATACTCATTTGTCTTCCCCACCAGACTGTGAGGACAGTGGTCAAACTGATTTATATCCATCCAACCACTCAGTACAGTAGCTTGTACACAATGAAGGGGTAAACAGGGTATAGGAATTACAAATAAAACAAATTTAAATGATATGTGACATGATTGTAAGTAAAGAAAGCATTACTTCATTCTTAGTTCATAAAAGATACTGCCACAAAAGCTACAGTGTTGTTACATGTATTATAATAAGATACTAATAAAAATAAATGTCTGACACACCAGGTGCACTCCTTAGAACAATCAATTATGAGAGATGAGAAGGGCATTATTTGCAGAGGCAGAGAGCTCAGGGAGCAGGAACACACAGGAAAGAAGAACACAGGGAAAAGGTAATTACAGGGAGGAAGTGGGAAGAGAGCCGTTACATTACAGGGATTGCAATCAATGTCATGAAATAAAATGTGTATGAACTGTCGTATGGAAAATGAATTTGCTCTATAAATGTTCACCCAAATCACAGTAAGAATAAAAAATAAAAAAATAAATGTCTGACTTGAGGGTTTATTTACAGATTTCCTCCACTGGCCAAGTGACCAGGTTGTTCTGTACTTTCTTCTCAGCTGAGGGTTCCTGGAATTTTCCTTTTATCTCTCCATCTACTTTCCCCAATTTCTCAAGTCAGGGATAGAACAGTCAGCTATGGATGTGGCAAATAAAGTTCCACTAAAAATGCATCAAAGAGCCCTGGTGGTTCAGTAGTTAAGTGCTCAGCTGGTAACTAAGAGGTCAGCAGTTGGAACACACTAGACCCTCTGAGGAAGAAGATGTAGCAGTCTACATCCATAAAGATTACAGGCTTGGAAACCCTATGAGGTAGTTCTATTTTGTCATACAGTGTCGCTAAGAGTTGGAATCAACTCTACAGCAGCGGGTTTTACTCCAGACAATCTAATTCAGCTTTTTGGAGAAGACGACCTTGGAATTTGCATTTTTAACAAGCACCACCAGTCCCCAAAATGATTTTCGAAGAAATGAAAATCATTACTCTAACACAGTATAATAAAGAACAGCTTTATTATCTGAAACAGAAGATAATTTTGCACTCTCTTTCTTTCCTTGATTTCCTATGAATGTTCTATTGATATAAATGAGCCTAAGTATCACATATAACCAGATTTTAGTGTTATTTCTCTACCAAATAAACCATTAAGCCTGTACAAATAATTAACTAAGAGAAACTTATCTGAAGTTATAATTAATATAGTAAACATAAGACTACAAATCATATTAAAACACAATCTGCAATATCACTACATAGTTTCTTTTTTTTTTTTCCTCCTAGATATTTGTACATAACACTTAGTATTCTCTGTTTTGAAGTTCTAAAATCAAAGATTCTGAACCCATTCCTAGCATGAAAAACCATTAACTAGGTGTGGATCAAAGGCCTCTCTGAACCTCAGTTTCTACTTCTTTCAACTTGAATACTACTATGTACTGCAAAGACCTGTAGTAAAATTAAACTACACAACACATGTAAGTGTCTAGATTACAAACATTAGGAAATTAAGCAACCTTACATATAAATGATCAAGCCTTTGAATAAAGCAATTTCACTAGATCATTTTAAAAATTAAGGAAAAAAAACCCAGGCTGAATTATGTTTATAAAATTTAATAAATTTTAAAATGGTACGATTCATTTCAAACATGATTCCAAACCAACTCATTGCCATCAATATGGATCCAACTCATAGCGACCCCTCCTTGGGTTTCTGAGGCAGTGTCACTATGGAAGTAGAATGCCCAACCTTTCTTCCGAGGAGTGGCTGGTGGGTTTAAACTGCCAGCCTTCTGGTTAGCAATCAAATGCCTTAGGCACTACTAAACTAAAACAATAGGTCCAATAAAATAAGCCCTGCCTGTCTACTTCAAAATGGAAGTATCTCCTGCAGTCTTTCTAATCCAAAAAGAGATCATAGTCATTCTTCCTAGAGGAAATTAACTTAAAAAATAGAAAATTATATTCAAAATAGAAAATGAGCAAAAAGACCATTCTTCTTTCAAATACAATATTCAATATTTCTTACTTTATTTCTAAGTAGTGACAATAATAATACAGTAAAATGAAATAAAATAGGGAAAGGAAAACCACATTCTTGCTCTAATTTTGCTGCTGCTAGGTTTGGTGACTTTGCTCTGAATCTCAGTTTTCTTATCCATAAAATGAGAGGATAAGGATTGAGATATCTAAGATCACTCTGGGACTACTGCCCTATGATTTGTGAAAATGCAAAACAACAACAGTAACAGTAGTCTTACCAGTTTCCGATTTATTCAAAATAGATGAATACGAGTAGCTTTGGCTGACGTAATCACTGGTAGAACCCACAGAACCTTCTCTTGGAAGAGGACCTATAAACCTGTCATGAACGTTGTCATCCACAGCACTGGAATCCTCCTAAAATACAGCATAACCAGTATTAATTTACTGAATAGTAAATGTTGATCAAACAGTAATAATAAAAAATTTAGTAATTGCTGATGCAAAGAAAAAGATGTGGCTTTACTATGAACTGTTACCATGAAGGCATTCAAAGGACTATGTGCTCTCATCATTTCCTACAGGAACATTTGAAAGATGCTGATGTCTTCTTCCAAAATTTTTACTTTAATTCTCTTTTACATTTATTCTTAACATGAGAGAGAGACTTTTTGGTACTAACAAACCAGAAGTCTCACCATGAATTCCTTGATGACAGAGTATATTATTTATGTTTACATCATTTGCGCTACACAGGCAGGCAGGAGATACGTAATAAATTTTGGATAAGGATAATTTCCTGCTGTTTCCAACCAAGAAACTTTCTATTACTGAGGAAGAAGTAGAGAGGGATATTGCTGTTTGTCACAGTCTAGTCAGCTCAGACTCACGGCAATCTCACATACAACAGAACAAAACACGTGCACGGTCCTGAGACATTTTCATGACCACTGGCATGGTCGAGGCCATTGTTGCGGTCACTGTGCATACTGAGTGCCTTCCTACCTAGGGCCTCATATTCTAGCACTATATTGGACAATACCTATTGTGATACACAGAGATGCCATTGGCTAATTTAGGAAGAAGATAGCCAGCCCTTTCTTACTACTAGTCTATCTTAGTCTGGAAGCTCTGCTGAAGACTATCTACCAGGGTGATCCTGCTGGTATTTGAAATACTGATGACATAGCTTCCAGAATCATAGCAACACACAAGCCACCAGAGTAGGACAAACTGACTGATGAGTAGTGGGGAAAAGGATTAAAGAACATAAAATCAAGAAAAGTAATTCAGACAGAGCTGGAGGGTAATCACTATGCATTGTATTAAAATAATTTGTTAATTCAGAGTTCACTCAACTATAGCTAATCTAGATTTCAATGTCATAAAAGCTATTTAAAATCTAATAATGTCATAAAAATAACTAATGAAATTAAGAAAGGTCAGAGAGCATACTCTGGTATTCCTTCGGCATGAAACCAATGGGTTTATTTACTGTCTATTGTCCTCAGAGACATGCTTATTCACGACAGATTTTTAAATAAAAATCAATTAGAATAATTTTTACTGAGGAATATTTCCCTGAAGGGAACAGTTCTGAAAAAGTCCATAAACTCTCTTAGTTGCCTCAGTCTGCAAAACACTGAGGTAAATCAGACCAGATTTTCTTACAGGTTTGCCCACTGCAATACACTTTCATCACAAATTTACAATCATTAGACAGGATTCAGTTGAGTGTTGCCTTCCATGGTTTGTAATATGAAGACAAGCATATTTTTAAAGTTTTTTTTTTTTTTTTCTCTTAACTTGAATATGCCTACCCCTTCAAAAGTCAGAATTTTCTGGAGAATTTCTCAGTATGAAGGTGTAAACTGGATTAGATAATCTCTAATATAGTGCTGGAAGAAGAGCCCCTCAGGTTGGGAAGCACTCAAAATACGACAGGGGAAGAGTCACCTCCTCAAAGTAGAGTAGACCTTAATGACGGGGATAGAGTAAAGCTTTTGGGACCTTCATTTGCTGATGTGACAACTCAAAATGGAAAGAAATAGCTGCAAACATCCATTAATAATCGGAACATGGAATGTATGAAGTATGAATCTAGGAAAATTGGAAGCTGTCAAAAATTAAATGGAACACATAAAAATCAATGTCCTATGCTTAGTGAGATGAAATAGACAGGTTTTGGCCATCTTCAATCAGACAACCATATGATCTACTATGCCAGGAATGACAAATCAAAGAGGAATGGTGTGGCATGCATCGTCACAAAGAATGTTTCAAGATATATTCTGAAGTACAATGCTGTCAGTGATAGGATAATACCCATACGCCTACAGGGAAGACAAGTTAATATGACTGCTATTCAAATTTATGCACCAACCATGAAAACAAAAGATGAGGAAATTGAAAATTTTTGACCAGTTTCCACAGGAAGAAATTGACTGAGCATACAATCAAGATGTATTGATTATTACTGGTGATTGGAATGCAAAAGTTGGGAACAAAAAAGAATCACCAGTAGTTGGAAAATATAGCCTTGGTGATAGAAATGATGTCAAGAGCGCATGACAGAATTTTGCAAGACCAGTCAGTGACTCATTCATTGCAAATACCTTTCTTCAACAATATAAACGCAGGCAATACACGTGGACTTCACCATATGGAATACACAGAAATCAGGTTGACTACATGTGTGGGAAGAGGAGATGGAGAAGCTCGATATCTTCAGCCAAAACAAGGTCAAGAGCTGACTGTGGAACAGATCATCAACTGTTCATATGCAAGTTCAAGTTAAAGCTGAAGACAAAACAAGTCCACAAGAGCCAAAATATGATCTTAATTATATCCCACCTGAGTTTAGAGACCATCTAAAGAATAGATTTGACACATTGAACACTTATCATCAAAACCAGAGGAATTGTGGGATGACATCAAGAATATCATCCATGAAGAAAGCAAAAGGTCATTTAAAAGACAGGAAAGGAAGAAAAGACCAAAATGGAAGTCAGAAAAGAGTCTGTAACTTGCTCTTGAATGGAAAGTATTTAAAGCAAATGGAATGACAAGAGCAGCTCAAGAAGACAAAGTCAACAATTATAGTGAAATATGCCAAGAGCTGGAATTAGAAAACCAAAAGGGAAGAACACGTTCAGCATTTCTCAAGCTGAAAAACTGAAGAAAAAATTAAAGCCTTGAATTGCAATACTGAAAGATTCTATGGCCAAAATGTTAACTGAGGCAGGAAACATCAAAAGAAAATGGAAGGAATACACAGAGTCACTATACAAAAAGAAATTTGTCGATGTTCAGCTATTTCAGGAGATGGCATATGATAAAGAACCAGTGGTATCTAAGGAAGAAGTCAAAGCCACACTGAAGGAGGTGGCAAAAAGCAAAGCTCCAGGAATTGACAGAATACTCACTGATGTTTCAACAAATGCATGCGACGTTGAAGGCACTTACTCGTCTGTGCCAAGAAATTTGCAAGATAGCTACCTGGCCAACCGACTGGAAGAGATCCATTATTTGTACCCATTCAAAAAAAAGGAGATCCCACAGAATGTGGAAATTATCAAACAATATCATTAATATCATATGCAAGTAAAATCTTGCTGAAGATAACTCAAAAAATGGTTGTAGTAATATATTGACAGAGAGCTTCCAGAAATGTAAGTTGGATTCAGAAGAGGACATGGAAAGAGGGACATCACTGCTGATGCCAGATGGATCCTGGCTGAAAGCAAAGACTACCAGAAAGATGATTACTTATGTTTTATTGACTGTGCAAAAGCATTCAATTGTGTGGATCATAACCAATTATGGATAACACTAAGAAGAACAGAAATTCCAGAACACTTAATTGTGCTCCAGAGAAACCTGTAAATAGATGAGGAGGCTGTTAGAACAGAACAAGAAGATACTGCATGACTTAAAATCAGGAAGGGAGTGTGTCAGGGTCGTATCCTTTCGCCATACTTATTCAATCTCTATGCTGAGCAAATTATCCAAGAAGCTGGACTATACAAATAAGAGTGTGGCATCAGGATTGGAGGATGACTATTAAGAAGCTGTGATATACAGACAATACAAGTTTGCTTGCTGAAAGTGAGGATGACTCGAAGCACTTACTGATGAAGATTAAAGACTATAGTCTGCAGTATGAATTATTCCTGAACATAGAGAAGATGAAAACCCTCACAACTAGACCAATAAGCAGCATCATGATAAGTGGAGAAAAGATATAAGTTATCAAAGATTTCATATTACCTGGATCCACAATCAACACGCATGGAAGCAGCAGTCAAGAACTCAGATGTTGTATTACACTGGGAACATCTACTGCAAAAGAACTCTTTAAAGTGCTAAAGAGCAAAGACGTCTCTCTGAAGACTAAGGTGCGCCTAATCCAAGCCATGGTATTTTCAACTGCCTCACATGCATGTCAAAACTAAACAATGAGGAAGAGTTAAGAAGAACTGATGCTTTTGAGTTGTGGTGTTGGCGAAGAATACTGAAAGTACCATGAACTAACAAATCTGACCTGGAAGAAGAGTAGCCGGAATGCTCCTTGGAAGTGAGACTTTGGTCGTGTTGTCAGAAGGGACCATTTCCTGGAAAAGGATATCATGCTTGGTAAAGTGAAGGTCAGAGAAAAAGAAGAAGATCCTCAACGAGATGGGACTGACGAAATGGCTGTAATTATGGGCTCAGGCATAGCAAGGATTGTGAGGCTGGCACAGGACCACGTAGTGTTTTGTTCTGTTGTATGTAGGGTTACTACAACTCAGAGCCAATTTGACAGCACCTAACAACAACTAAAAAAACAGATGATCTCTAAGGCTACTGGAGTAGACTGGAAAGCCTAGTGAAATATGAATAGGGATAACCATTAAAGTTCAGTGCTTCTTGAAAAAATTAAACAAAGATGACCATATGACTCAGCAATTCTACTCCTAGGTATATACCCAAAAGAACTAAGAACAGGTATTCAAACAAGTATTCGTACACGAACGCTCATAGCAACACTATTCACAATAGCCAGAAGGTACAAAGCATCTAAATGTGACCAACCAGTGAGCAATGTTCTGGGAAGTTCGCTCTCTCTCAGGTGCTTAGAATTCTGACGTTATGATTTGCTAGTTTGGCCACTCTGCCAGGCTCAAAAGGAGGCCTCCTAGAGGTAGAACTCTGACTGCTGACTGAAAGAAACACACTCCCGAAGAAATGCGCTCCTAAGAAAAACGTGCTACTGAGAGACAAGCGCTCCTGATATGCACCACTGGGAAAGAGATGCAAAGAGATGCACATTGCTGAGAGAGACACCGACACACACTACTGGGAGAGAGACTGTGAGAGACTGTTGGCTGAGAGATGGTAGGCTGAGAGAGACTGAGCATTGTTCCATAACTTGAATT